CAGAATGACACGTGGCTTACATCGGGCGACCGGACGCTGGGTCCAGCGTCCGGTCAATATGACCAGAGCGTCTGGTCACTCCGTGTTGTGCCCAGTGAAGGGGTACAACGGCTCTATTTCGTGGGGGCTTCTATTTAGGCCCTATGGCCGGCTCAAGCTCACACTCTTGGCCATTTTTATTGACATAGCAACCTTATGAGCTTAGTCAAAGCCCTCCCACTCATCTCCATCATTGATCCATCATCATTGTGAGATTGGAAGAGAATCCAAGTGCATTGTTTGAGTGATTGCATCTAGAGGCACTTGGCATTCGTGTTGCGCTGCGGATTTCGCTTGTTTCTCTTGGTGGTTGCCACCACCTAGACGGTTGGAGCAGCGGTGGAGGATTGGCACGAGTTGGTGATTGTTCGTGGCCATCTCCGGTAATTGTAAGGGGAGTTGTACCTTCCCTGGCGGAGTGCCGAAAGGTAACTCTAGTAAATTACTCGTGTCATTGAGTTACCTCACTTGTGGGTCGGTTCTTGCGGTGTCCTATCGTGTGGACGAGGTTTGTGAAACACCTCTTAGCCACCGAACCACCAAGTGTTGGTCGACACAACGGGGACGTAGCGTGTTGGCAAGCACGTGAACCTCGGGAGAAAATCGATTGTCTCTTGTCTTTGGAATTCTCCCGGTGATTGGCTATATATTCATCTTGTGATTGGTTCATCCCCTATATGGCGGTATAATCACCCTACACACTTATTTACATTCTTGCAAACTAGTTGATACAAGCTCTTTCGTGTAATTAGAATTGAGAGCTTGCTTTATTATTTACATTCATCTAGTTGAGCTCTTTAGAGTAGCAAGATTGAGAGCTCTTAGTGAGTAGTTACATAGCAAGTTTATGTGCCTAAGTAATCATTGCAACTAGAATTGTTGGATAGGTGGCTTGCAACCCTTGTAGAGCTAGAGCAAGTTTGCATTACGCTATTTGTCATACTAATCAAATTGCTCTAGTTGATTTGTAGATTTTTAAATAGGCTATTCACCCCCCTCTAGCCGTATTAGGACCTTTCAGTCAGTCCAGATCCCGTCTTCCACAACAGTTCCCGAGAGAACCACAGATCAGCAGCCTTCTGGCTTCCCCGTCCCGTACCTCTGCGCGCATGGAGGATGCGGGAGAGCAGGTGCCTCCGAAACCCTCGGCCGCCTAAGAATCCTGCACGGGGTGAGTGGCGATTAGGTTTTTGGGGAGCGATTCGCGACTGCTCGTCCATCTTCTTCCTGCTGGATCGCTCTTGGATCCGTCTTCTCCCTGGAATGTCAAGGCATCTTCTTCCTGGTGATCCGTTCGTGGGACTGCACTGCGAACATCTTCCTGCATCGACTGTGGTCCGCGACTTCGAGCAACGCACTATGTCGACTAGTGCGAATGGAGCCTCCGATGCCCTCGGCATGGGATCCTCCACTGGGTACAGTCTAATCTCTCTGATTACTGTATTGATCTATATGTCATCTATGCATGCTGTAGCGTTCATAAGAAATATACACATACACATATATGCCGTCACAAACCTGCTGATGTTATATTTCTGGATTAAACTGATAATAAAAATGCCTAAATTTCTAACAGTTTGCATTGCCGCTTTGTGTTGATCCGCCCCTACCGGGTACTAGCCCTGGCCGGGCGACGCCGATGGGTTTCATAATGTACAGTAGTGCATATACACCTTGATCTGCGTACGTGACGTGACGGATGTGAGCGAGGCCGTGTGTGCTCATCACGGCGCCCAAAGCAAGCGCCCGTACGTCCGGATATAAACAATTGATCCGGACTCTTTCGCTCTACCCGTCCCATCCCAGCGCTCCTTCCCATTCATATCTAGAGGCTTCCACTGCGCCTCACCCCTTTCGGATCTAGAGGCTTTCGCTCTACCCATCCCACCCAATGCTCATCCCTTCCGGCTCCCTCCTTTATCCTGTGATGCAATAGTAAACCACGGTAATGGTGGTTGCATTTCCTATAACTTTTGCAGACATCGCACCTTGCCGAGGGGAGGGGGGAGGGGGGGATGGAAAGAGAGAAATGGATAAGATGTTAATCATTGCTCCCAACATTCAAGAATAAAGGTTTGCAACATATACTAAAACCTCATGTAACATCAAAAAAACATGTTGCAACACTTAAATCAACAGTTGCAACATAAAAAAACTTGTTGCAACATCTTAAATCAACTGTTGCAACATTTAAAAAAACATGTTGCAACATCTCAAATCGATTGTTGCAACATAAAAAAACATGTTGCAACATTAAAAAAAATATGTTGCAACATCTTAAATCGACTACTGCAACATTCAGAAAAACATGTTGAACCATCTCAAATCGACTGTTGCAACACCGCAAAATCCAATTTTATGCTGAGTGACCCAAAACATGTAACATCCAAGATTGACCGTTGTAACATATCACATACTACAACATAACCCACGGTAGAGTGCAGATCCAATTGCGTTTGCCTGTGAATGAGCCCGACCACCATGGAGGAGCTTGTAGCCAGCGAGGCCACACCTTCAGCGTGTAGTTCATCGTCGAGAGACACCCAACCAAGGAGGATTTCATAGCTGAGAAACACCTCACCATAAAGGTGTCCACTTAGATCCACTTTGTTGCCATGGAGGCAAGGTAGGAAGGCGAGCGGGTGCAGCGGCAAGAGGGAAGAACAAGGACGGGCATGGGCTGGCGGGGCCGTGAGGGAGGAAAGCAGGCAGTGAGGAAGGAAAGCAGGCAGTGAGGGAGTAAGGCGGTCAGCGGCGTCGAGGAGATGAGCAGCCGCGTCATCATCAGGGAGACGAGAAACCGCGTGAGAGAGACGAGCAGCGGCGTGGGAGAGAAAGGTGAAGACTGTTGGGCGTTAGTAGGTATAGATTCTGATCCAGTTAAAAAAGCGTCTGACACGAAGGAAACAGGCCAGATGCCCGTGTAGGAGCATTTCCATTCAAGAAAAAAACTTTCTCTGTCCTAGAAAAGTATCATTCTTATTTTGATAGAAGTCAAACATTTTTAATTTTAACTAAACATATATATATAAGAAAATATTATTATGTATAATACATAATTAATATTATTTATGAATCGGTAAATATATTTTCATCATAAACTTATTTAAAGATATAAATGTTGCTAATATTTTTTTATAAACCCTAGGCATGTATCCGCCCCTGACATCGAGTCAGGAGCCCACCATGAGCCACCCTCTACTCTTCAGGCCCACTTTGTTCCAAGTGGGTGGAGATAGGTTTAGAGATACAAGCGGACTAGCCCGTGAAGCTACTTATATATAGACTTAATTTTATAGATTGCTTGTGACAACCCACACGGGCTAGCCCACTTGCATTTCCTAGATGGGTTTGCACAGGCAGGGGCAGCTGCAGAGAGACTCCACAGCTCTGCATATCACATCATGTTGATCTGATTTACAAGTATATTAGATGGTCATGAGTGTTCTAAAGAAGTTTTGTGCAGAACAATGGCCACGATATGCATGTGCAGCTGCTAGCATGTTCGGTGAGCTTGTGCACGTCAGGTTAGCAAGCTAATTTAATTTGAAGCATTCAGGTGGCACCATTGACAGTAATAAACACCCCTGAAAATTGCAGCGTGAGGGCCTGACGAAGATCAAGGATGCATATCTCAAAAGATACACAGATTGAAGGCAATGGTTGTAGATGTGCTGAAGTATTCTCATGCAAAACATTCTACTTGGATTTAGATACCCTCAAAGTTAATTGCAGTCCGCCGGGTGATAGCAAGTTGTATAGCAGTATTTTCAATACTATGTTTTTGGGCTTCAAAATTTGTATGAAGACCAATCGAGATACTAGAACATATATTGTGTGATTTTAAGAACATTTAAAACCTCTGAAAATACACTTAGAAGGATAGAGCTTATCAGCGGCATGCCGCAACTTTGGCCCTCTGATTTTCTTGATGAACTGCACATTGTTCAGAGAAGCGGTTTTGTAGCGTGATAAAAAATCATGTAAGCCAAACAGGTTGCATTTGTGCAGGTTCGTGTGACGTGCTTCACATTTTGGCCCATGCAGACAAATTAGTCTGTGCTTGTAGCAATTGCCAATTGGTCAGAGCTCTCTGAACTCATATTGGCAAGTTCATGGTCCTATATATGATCCTACAACTTGCCTTTGAAACAAAATAGACACCAATGTGTTTCAGTATATATGTTTCATCAATTAGATTTATGTTGTCTTCATAGCTTTCATTCATGGGTCCACAACCGTCGAACACATCAACACAGTTACAGTGTGTATTCCTCATTCTTAGAGGTCTATTGTGCGTGTCTTATCAATTCCTACTGTGTCCTAGATACAATAGAATGGAAGTTCACTGTCTACATGCAACTCGGATGCAGAGGTAACCTTAATCTTCGTTTGTAATTCTACGACATCATAAGCGTATTCACCAAATAACAAATGGGGTGAGGACAAAACTACTCAGCAAGCCCTAACAAAAAGCAAAAAGGTGATAAATGGATAACTCATGGATAATACACTTCACAATGACATGAACAAGGTTCCCCTCCATACTCCTTTTTCCCTAAAAAAAGACAGGAGCAAGGTTGAAAATAAGCAACTAACATGATACTTCCAACACAGATGGTAAAACAATTCATCACAAAAGAAAAAAAAAATATATAGAAGACAACTCAAGTTGCAGCTTCATGAAAATAATATTCAAAGAACAATAAATTGTTGCTACTACAATTTTATAACCTCTATTATGCTCGAAAACGACATTTACGGATGTCAAATTCAACAGCAAGAGCTGAATGAAACTATCATTGCCTGAAAAACAACACTAAAGTGTGGAAAAATTAGCTGCAAGAGCTGAACAAAACTATCATTGCCTGTGAACAATTAAGCAAGAAGGATGACAAATTCAATAGAAAGAGATGAAATAAACTATCATCATCACCCCAATCTATATTTACAATAACATATCATAGAAAACCCTCAGCAGAATCAGGCTTCTTGGGACTGTTGCTAGAGTTCCCGTCAATAGTGGACATGGTGACCGGAATAGTGACAGGGCTTCCTGGGACATGGGTCTTTGCAAATTCACCTTCGGGTTGCTTATGCTCTCGCTCACTTTGCTCAGTCATTAGAACACTATCATGAACATTGGCCTTGGATACTTCACTCTGGTGGCAGCTAGGATTCTTCTCAGCTGTCTCAGTGTTTTCTTGCATGTGGGCTACTGCAATTTCACCCTCGTGATTTTTCTGCTCCTCTACATTAGTCATTTGACGTTCACCCGCTTGATGCTCACTCTCCTGACAAGTCATTTCAGGACTATCTAGAATGAAGTTGTTTGTAGAATCATCTTCATGACGCTTGCACTCTTGCTCATCCGCTTCAGAGCTTTCAAGCGAATCAACCTTTGTGGTTTCACCGCTCTGATTGGCTCCCTCCCACTCAGCCATCATCCTTTCCTTTGTCTTCGTGCTAACATCGGTTGTAGTGGTTGCAACCTTGTTGTAGGCATCAGTTACCCATGCTGCACCTGTAAGGATATATCTGTTACTCATGATGGCAGAACTAGCAGTAGAGACAGTCTGTTCAGCCGCGGCTAATGCTGTCTTGGTCTTCTCTGCAACCTGGTATTTCTCATCCATTTCCTTCATTTTCTCATTCACCACTAAGGTCCCGGTGCTGAACTTCTGGCTTAAGCCCATTGTCCTGTCAAGGGAAGCGACTTTGGCAGTTGCAGTTGATGTGAGCTGATGCTTTTCATCAAAGGCCTTTGCTTTTTCAACGGCATCCATGCCAAGAACAAACCCTTTGGCTAGCATAGAACCTACAATATCCTCAGCCTTCTGAAGAGCGGATTCCATGCCACCAGTATTTTTTGACTGGTAATGCAGTTAGTGGTATTAGGAGTCTGGTCTTGTCGAAAGCAATGCAATTTTGCTAATGGGAGATTTGAATATGACATGGTTCTACCTCTAGATCAGCTAAAACGGATGCTGGTAGCTTGTAATCGGTGGCTGGTGTGATGATGACAGCCATATCTTCTATAGTCGCTCCCTGCATTAAAGCATGGATTTGCGTAATAGAGTTCATAAGTGTAGAAAGGTTACCTTTAATACAAAGGACAAGATATTATGTTAGGTAAAAGACAAGAAAATCAAATATAAGATGGAATATAGTACTTAGAGACCAATAACAAGAACACATCATACACGGCAGTTTCATGGAAGAAACCATTATGCAAACTGTATATTCATATTCAGTTCAGGACTCGAATCTTGAAAAAGAGTAGTATCAGTAGTAATCATTGCTTTCATTCAACAAAATTAGTGGATATAATATTAAATTTGCAGGCACTTATTTCATAGGTAAAGTAAGTGTATGAAGATGATCATCATCATAAATAATTTGTAGCAAAGACAGTGGAAACTAATGCAAAATCCTAGTATACCGTAAGAAGCATAGCCCTCTCTGCTCCTTGATTATCTCTGAACGTGATGTAGGCAAACTGTGACCGCTCATCACAACTGCAAAAGCATTCCAGGTCAAATTATGCATGCGTTTATACTGATGATATCATGGAGATGATATGGCACTAACCTTTGTAATTCTACATGTACTATCTCGCCGGAAAATGAAAAGAACTCACTAATATCTTGCTCTGATGCTTTAAGAGAGACATTGTGGACTTTTACCGTGCCTGTCATGGTTGCCTTAAAAAAAGTTGGACGAAATGAATTAATCGGCAGTTTGATCGACCATGCGCCTAGTAAGTGGGATGAATACGAGGATTTTCTATAGGAATATAAGCTATTTAAACTTAAAAAACGAAAGTAATCGGCCACAAATGTTTCTTTTCAGAAATAGCTAGTAGGCATCCGACTAGTCAACTAAGATCTACAATAATTGAGCCGCTGATGAAATTTGCACGTTTGAGCAGTATAATATAACTGTATGTATAACCTAAAGCCATAGTCCATGACACCAATCGAAGAGAACATAGAAACACAGTTTTAGGAAATCTAAAATGTCTGAATTTACCAATATACATGGTTGAAAAAAATCAACGCATTGGCAAATAAGACAAATGAACAAGATTAATCCCCAAGAGCATCATCGATCAGCTACGCATATCAATCTGCAACCAAGCTAATCCCCAGATTCAACATAATCATGAAACAGCCAAAGAGAATAATACGCTGAATTTTGCTTCGGATCGGAAACACGCGCGCGCGCGCGCACACGCACACACAGAATCGCCAAGAGCAGGAACTCCAAAAATCTGCGTTCTCACCTCCACCTCCACGGATGCGATCCCAACGGCGTCGCCCTGTGTCTGGGAACGCGATCCAAATGGGGTGGCAGAAATGGAACCGCCTCGCGCGCATTTTGCTGCCGGTTTCGTAGGGGCTGGTGGTAGAGGAGCAGGGCTGATGCCTAATTCTGGAGAGCGATGACGTGGCTACGTCTGGGAACACATGCTCCTGGTAGGTCAGCCCGTTTTCTCGTAAGGCTTGTTTGTTTGCCTGCATCAGGGACTTTGCCTTGATTAAATTCAGTGCGTAAATTTATGAGACGTCGCATCGGATGTTATACGACTATGAGACGTCGCATCGGATGTTATACGAGGGTGTCGTATAGGGTGTTTGGATGCTAATAAAAAAATAAATTACAGAATTCATCAGTAATCCACGAGACGAATTTATTAAGCCTAATTAATCCATTATTAGCATATGCGTTACTGTAGCACCACTTTGTCAAATCATGGACTAATTAAGCTTAAAAGATTCGTCTCTCAGATTAGTCATAAACTGTGCAATTAGTTATTTTTTAATTTATATTTAATACTCCATACATGTGTCTAAATATTCAATGTGATATGGAGTAATTTTTAGAGGGAGAAACTAAACAAGTCATTTGGGTGGTTGGTTTAGGCCAGGACTACATGGGGCAGGTAATGTAGGTGCAAGTGCAACCTATTCAATTCAGAGTTTGACCCCTGGTAGCCTGTACAAATTGATAGTTACCTTTACTGAAAACATGGTAGCATCAACCACCCATCTCTTCTTTGCTTGTCTCATTGGCATTCCATCAAACAGTTGTCGGTGTGGGCAAGTTCACCTCCGATGGCGTGGGAGCCATGCAGCGCCGCGCACACCCAGCTGTAGCCAGGTTGGCCCCGCCCACGCCGCACTTGGGCAAGGCGCGCCGGCAGCCATGCCCGACACCAAAAACCATGGCCATGACGGCGCGTTCTGCTCGTTGACGTGCCGCCGCGCCACCTCCACGTCCATGGCGGCGCGCTCCGCAAATGGGTTCGTCTTTGCGGCACGGCCGTGACCGGGCGGCGGAGGCGTATCGTCGTCACGAACCTCCTGGCGACGGAGGTGCGACGGCGTCGGACCTCGCCTTTTCGCCACGGCCGTGCTCGGGCGGCGGAGGTGCGGCAGCGGCGCGGCGTCTCGCCCTTCATCTACGCGCCGCTCTCCTCCAGCGCTACAGCCGTGCTCAGGTGGTGGAGGGCGACGCCATCGCTCCCATCGTCTTCGCGCTGCGTGGGGACTGGGGAGAAGAAAGAGCAGCGGTGGCTGAGAGCCTATCTAGCACTTGGGCCATGGAGGCAGCCAGGCCCAGAAAAAACGAACTTCAATTTCGTTTCTCTGGGCTCTGAGGTGCTTTCTATCCAAGCTACCAAACAAGGCTACTTGCAGCCCACCGGCCTGGCCCAGCCCCTCGACCAGGCAATCAAACAGGCCCAGTGTCCTCCCTCGCTCGCTCGCTCGCTCGCCATCTTCCTTTCGCTTTGGACCCCCACGGCTTCCAAACCCTCTCATTCCAGTCAGGCGGTGCGACGGGGTGAGGACGGCGGCGGATGGCAAAGGGTGGTGTTGGCAGCGGGATGATCTGGGCGACGGCGGAGGATCTGGCGCGGAACCGTCCGGTGGTTCTGTCTCTGTACCGGGAGATCCTTCGGGCGCTAAACTCGCCGGAGCTGCCGCTGGGGCACGCCGCGCGGCTGGCAAAGAAGGCGGAGTGCCGAGCCATCTTCCTCTTCGGCGCCGAGGAGGGGTCGCTCCACAACATCCGGGACCTCGTCGAGGCTGCGCGCCACGCTCCGGACTCATCAACCGCGGCCGCCTCCCTAGCGTGAGGACTTATTCGTTCCTCGCGAGCCGAGCTGTTCCCTATCTTCATGGGTATCTCTTATCTCCCAGCTTCCTTTCTATGCCCATTGTAATATATTTAGGTCTGCTGCGTGCCGGTAATGGCTAAATTGGTGTCATCAGTGATCTGTTCTTTTTTTAAAAAAAAATTATACGGTACAACGTAGTCCACGGTACGCACGCACACTCACCCCTATCACAGGCGTCTCGCTGGTGACGGGGACGTCGCGTGTCGATAAATCCTGGAATAAATTTAGAAAAATATAAGCACCTGTGCCAAGTCGAGGACTTGAACCCGGATGGACAGGTTCCACCACAAGAAACCAACCAACTGATCTATGATCAGTTAAGCTGTTATTCTTACTTGTTTCTCGATGCAGACTGCAGAACAATACTGTAACTAGCTAATTGAAACAAAAAAAATTCAGTATGAATGAACTGACACTTGAATTATTGAAAAGCTGCTGGTGGTCTTCTTAAATTTGAGGTTTGAGATTGGGATGCATGGTTTTTGGAGGTGTTCTTCGAGATTTAGTAAATTGTAGCACTCAGGAATTCTACAACCTAGGCTGTGTTTAGTTCGAGTGAAAGTTGGAATTTGGGTACTGTAGTACTTTCGTTTTTATTTGACAAATAGTGTTCAATTATGGACTAATTAGACTCAAAACGTTCGTCTCGTAATTTCCCATCAAACTGTGTAATTAGTTTTTTTTTCATCTACATTTAATGCTCCATACATGTATCGCAAGATTCGATGCGATTGGATAATTGTAGCACTTTTTTGGAACTTCTTT